ATATCTGGAGCTTTCACTCCTCCCACAGATGCAGGGAAGGTGTTGTAGGCACCATGCACCTCAGCACAAACTATCCCTGACCCTACATGGGTTTGACAGTGGGGTTCCCAGAGCTGCAAATTTTAAGGTCAGAAATGACCATGAAATATCTTCCTATGTAAACACGGGAAGAAGCTCTCTCGTGGCAACTCCTGCAAGAAGCTTGAGAGCTTTCAGAGCTCCTACAAAATCATCCCAGAGGAGATGAGAACCTCTTGTCTTCATGGTTTGCTGCAGTGGTTCATCAACCTTCCCCCTGAAAACATGCATCTTAACTTGAGACCTATGGGATACTCTAGGTTTTTTATGTGCAATGTTTATTTAATGTAATTTAGGAAAAAAAAAAAGGAAAATACTGAACTGAGAAAAAAAAATTATGAAATATGAAACAGTCTGACAGAGAGCCACTGCTGCCTCACTGAGGTGTCGTAAAAGAGAGGCAGAAATTGCCGGTAATTTCAGCAGAAACAGGAAAATCAGACAAACTCTTCAATCATCACAGGGGCTATGGAGCCAGGGGAAGCACGAGTATCAACATATCTCTTTAGATCTTGGGAATTTCCAAATCCAGGAGGGAAAAACCACTGAGTAACTCGTACGATGCCTCAAGTTAAACGGCTAACCAGGGACAATTTGCTGTGTGGAATCCAACACAAGTGTTTTTTGCACCCAGTCAACGAGAAGGGAAGATCTCTGACCAGGGACAAACAGATCTTGAGCCCACTGGTACCTCCCAGCACCTCCCCTCTACACAGCACCCTCCGTTGGGGCACCTCCACCAGGACCTGTCCTCACCACCCTCTCGCCAGTGGGAGTCAGAGTGAGACTGCACGTGGGGGAAGGTTCCATGAAGGACATGAGAGGACCAAAACACAGCAGACAGCACGTAAGGGCTTGTGACGAGGTGTGTGTGCGCGTGTGGGTGTGTGAGAAAGAAAACAGATGTGAGAGGAGGACGCGGAGTGACTTCATTTCACAGCATGAACAAGCACGTACGGGTGTGCAGCACAGCCATGGAGGGTGCCAGGAGACCATCAAATGGCATAAGACTATGGAAGTGACACAGAGGAACCAAAAATTACCACAGAGCCCCTGAGAAAAACAGAACCACCTGTGTGTTTTCTCTATACTGTATTTTAGGAAAGCACTGGAAACTTCACTGAAGTGTATTTGTCTTCCCACACAGCCCGTACTATGTTATGGCTATATCCATGCAACTCCCTGTGTTATCATTACTAAGCTTTAAGGAATCCACCACATCATTTTTAAGGACAGCCTCGGTATTTCCATAGTTACTAAGTTTGAGCCCTTCTAAATGTTATAACTTCATCATAACTCTGATGTCAATAAGGCCTAGTGACAGATACCTCAGAAATGCAGGGCTGACCCAATTAGCCAGATCAAACGATGGAAGACATTTCTCTTTGGCAAGAGGATGACATGGTTTTTCATATTACTTCTTGGATGTCAAAATCCGAGTTCTAAAATGGCTTAGACATAATATCATTTATATATGGAGAAAAAAACATTGCATTTCTTATTTCTGTGATCAGTCTCATCTTCTTATCAGATTCCTGCTATTGTGAAGCTTCACATCTCTTGAGGGCTGGGGCAGAAATCCTCCTCTTCAGGCAGGTCCTCAATCCCCCTGTCAATTCCTCTTCCAGGGGTAATTGAGTAGAGCTACAACAGGTGAATTTGTGGAAAACTAAAGACATAAGCAGTTAGTCAGATCCTCTTCCTTACTCAAGCACACCTGTCTTGACTTGGAAGGGACTCTAAATCACATCATCTGAGGACCTGGCCCACTGCTATGATTTTATTTTATCCTTGATTTATTTTATTTCTTCCTAGCTACTTTTTCAGGATCTGTAATTTCACTTTCAGTGACTCAGTAGTGGACAAGTCCAGTTTCAAGACAGAGAACTCAACGAACCTGCACATACAGAGCCGCAAATTAAGATTGCACATGCTTTAATATCTGCATAAATACAGACCAGGGTAAGTACAGGTCTGGGTACATCTGAGCCAGGCCGCTGCATTGCTGGTCCTTCTTTAGAAAAACACTATTGCCCAACAGCACAGGGCAGAGCAAACAGTACAGCCCTCAACCACCAAAGGAAACAATTCTTTGGGTGGAAGAAGGCTACTTTCTTACATCTGGATGTGACATCCAATTCAATTTCAGTATCAATGTGGCTGGACGTGATTTACAGGGACATGTGAATAATTAATACCAGCTCTGGAAGGGAGAGCTGGGTACTCATTAGAGTTTCCTTGAAGCCCAAATGATATAATGATTAACCAACTTAGGATCTTTTTAATAATTCCAGCAATTTCAAGTCTCCCGTGTTAAAGATCTGCTGAAGAGCTTTTATTCAGATGAAAGGCTCTCTTCAGAGAACAAATCATTAATAGAGTATACACATAGATCTAACATTCACAAATCAATGCACTTGAAATAAAATGCACTTTTAAAGTTTCTTTTTCACTTTCTTCCCTGATTTGGGGCTTTAGTGCTTTTCTTTCTCTAACAAATTTTACCACAGGCAGTTAAGATTACTGCATGAAAAAGGGCTGGTTTTCTGTTATAAGTGCTTTCAGCACTTTGGCATCCTGAAATGGAATGCCCGAGAAATGCAAAATGCAGCTACTTCACTAATCCCATGCGTTTCATCTGACACGCCAAGTTTCACACTCCATGCCAGAGAAAAATCTATTAGACAGTGAGATCAAGCGATGGCTGTCCAACACAGTTCAGCATTACAGGGCAGGGGGGATCAAAGCAGATTTTATCCCTGCTCCTAAATAATGCCAGATGAAGACATTTTGGTCCAAATACTTTAAAGCTGTTTATCCTTTTGCTTAATCCCTATTTAAATACTTTCTTATCAATAACTGAGAAGCGTCCCATCATTTGGATTTCTGGACCCTCTGTATCTGCTGCTCAAGCCAGTAAACAGACCTTCACTGACTTCAGTGGGAATGGAACCAGCACTTTAATGATTTGCACAGCAATGGCCTGAACTTTTTAGGGGTTTCACACCCTAGTAAATCACACCAGAGCTAGTAGGAACTGCAGGTGCTGTGCTGGTGGGTGGCCAACGACAGAACCAAAACTCAGATTCAAATCTTTTAATTATCAGCCCTCCCTTGGAAGCTAAGGAATGCACAACCAAAAGGCAACCCACGTGCAGGGTGTTAAATGCACATACGTTGATAATTAATACAAACATTAATACTATGCATGGAAAAGAAAACAGCTCTGTTGTCTTTATACAGGCCCAGGTTTGTAATCCACTTATTTTAATTTTCTAAAACTTTCTAGATTGACTGCTAAGTCAAGTTTAAAAACTTCACTGCTTCCACTGCCATCAGAAAGGACTTAGCAAGCAAACTGTGAGGCTCAGACAATGGTTAATACTTTCAGATACTAATTAGCCATATTTAATGAATTTAATTTGCAGCAGCCATGGTAATACGCATAACTATTAACTCTGACCAGCTTTACCTTCCATGGGACCTACACCTGCTCCCATTAACTTCAGTGGGATACAGATCAAGGCCACAGCATTAATTCCTCCTGGACCTCTTCAGCAGCTCAAATTAACCCTCACAGGTGGCTCACAACGACCAGAAAGGTGACAGAAAGTTGTTCAGTGGGAACCCCAGTGAACTGTCCTGCTGCTCCAGAGAATCTCAGTGCATTAAAACTTTGCTCCCCAACACCCCTTCTCTCGGGAAGGGAACGGCACTTCTAAGGTGACAAGCAGGGCACGTCTCTCCCAGCACGAAATTCTGACAGCAAAATCTCGCTGAAGGTGACGAGAATACACCACAACACTTGGCTCTTACGCTGCACTTTGCTTCTTCAGAGACCTGGACGGACATTGATTTGATTTGCTAAGTCAGTGCTTTTCTGAGGGCTCTGCTATCAGCTCATCACCGCCGAGCTGCGTGACCCACCTCCATATTAAAGACCAGCCCGGCTCTTACTCGCAGCCTGTTCATAGGAAAAAACAGCGAGCCCGTGAACCAGAAATACTCTGTTTATAGAGAGCCCTCCCTTGGAAGCAGAAAGAAACTGAAATATTACAGACAAAACTTGTTCAACTGTGTTTTGGAAGTGGCACGCAGCGTAGGAAAAGCACTACTTGGCATTAGCTACTCTCCGTTTTGAGACATGCTTAAAGTAGCAATTAAAGCAGTGGGGACACGGCAACGAGGACCACTCCCAATACAACGCAACCTTGATTACGACGTATATACACACAGCAGCCCATACGCTGCCTCTCTTCAGCACTCCCGGCTCTCTACCTCTATAATATCCTGTATGCAAAAATTAGTTTTAACAAAAATAAAACTCTTTGCTCAGCCGAAAAAGCACCAGCCTGTACCCCGCTCCCTTGCACCATCTGTGCGTGTTTATTCTCAGCCTTCCGAAAGAAAAAAAAAAAACAACACTCGAACGTTTTACTAATCTTTATGCCTCGCCACTATAAATAAAACAAATAAAGCCCAACAACAGTTAAGCATCGTAGCTAAAACACATCCAATCCACTCCGATTATTTCTGCTCGTCTGTCCACGAATAGCTGCAGCCATCGGCTTTAGGGGAAGCGTGCAAGTCAGACCGCATTTATTTACAGTTGCACTATCAAGAAAAAGCCTTTCCCCGTCTCCTCGTTCTATGAATATTTTAAAACACTTGGAGTTTTTCCTTTTTCTCCCTCTTTTTTTTTTTTGGGGGGGGGGAAGGATGGCGAGGAGGGATGCTAGCCTAGCTCCTGCCCCTCAGTTCTATTTTTCTCCGTGTTTCCAGGTCGCCCCGACTTCTCGCCCGGAGGGACGCGCGGGGCGCGGAGCAGCCCCGCACACGGACCCGGGGACACGGACCCACCCCCGGGGGAAGGGACAGCGCCCGCAGCCTCCCGGCCCCCGCAGCCCAAACCCGCCACCTACGTCCCCAGCGTCTCCTTGAACTCGAAGATCTTCTTGATGTCCTCCGCCTGCTTCTTCCAGGAGCCGCCGCCGTCCCCGTTCTCCCGGGCCATGGCCGTGCAGCCCCGCGGATGCCGCGCCGGCGGCTGCGAGCCCTCGGGCGGCTTTTGCTTTCTCTTCTGCCGCGGCAGCAGCGACTGCTGCTGCTGTTGTTTCTTCTTCTTCTTTTTTTTTTCTTCCTCCTCCTCCTTCTTCTCCCCTTCCTCCTCCTCCTCCTCCTCACACTTCCTGCCCGCCGCCGATTTTATTTCCTCCGCGCTCCGGCGGGCTCCGCGAGTGCTCAACTTTTCCTGGGCTATTTCCTCCCAACTTTCTCTTCCCCCCCCCTTTTCCCTCCCCTCCTTTCCCCTCCTCCGCGCCCCCCCTCCCCGCGGAGCCGCTGGCGGGGCTGCCCCGTTCCCTCCCCCCCTCCCCCTTCCGCGCCCCGCGCAGCAGCTGCGCGTCCCGGGTCACTTTGCTCCCTGACTGACCACCCGAGGAAAAAAGTCCTTCTTTTTTGTTGTTGTGGTTTTTCTTTTCTCTTTTTTTTTTCTCTTTTTTTTTTTTTTTGAGGGAGGTCACTGTTTCTCTTCCCCCACCCCCCCGTGCGGGGCCCCGTGGGATGCTCAGCTCCCGGGCGCGGTGCGATGCGGAGCGATGCGGCCCCTCGGGCACAGCGGCTGTGCGCGGTTGTTATGGCAATGGGAGGAGGAAGAAGAGGAGGAGGAGGAGGAAGAAGAGAAGGAGGAGGGAGAAGGAGGAGGCAGCCCCGCCGCTGCTCTGCTGCCTGGCGCTGCCCCTCCTGACTGAATGAAGATAATTCGCATTGCACCAAAACCGCGCACGTCAAACGGGAGGGGAGGGAAAGCAGCGAGAAGGGAATAAAAAAAAAAAAAAAAAAGCGAAAGCAGGGAAAAAAAAAACCTCCAAAGCCACACCACAAGCGGCCGCGCTGCCTGGCCGGGCGCTGCGCGGGGGCTGCCGTGCCCACCTGCCTCGCACGCAAATACACACTCCTGGGATGCAGAAACGCACCCCTTGCCAAGGACCACCCTTACCCAGCACAGCACTCGGTGCACCCAGCGAAGCGAGGGGCACACAAGCAGAGGGGTCGCGCAGCCCAGGGGCAGGGGATGGGCACCGCGCAGCCCCGATGAGAGGCCCGAGCCCTGACACGGTGCCCACCCCGCCGGCACCGCCGTCTGAGCCAGGCACGGCATCGGCCTGTCACACTGTCACACACGCGTGGCTGGGATTATTGCTAAAAGCAGCTTTTTCTCAGCGACACTGAGACCTCTAGCGTCGTCGCATCGGGCATGGGCTGAGCTCTGATGGGGGGTGACAGGCAGGATTCCTCAGACATCAGGGAAAATTATAGTCTAGCCTAACTGAGATATGTTTATAGTTAAGATCTTTGGGCTGCAGTTTCAGAATAGGTAAGGCACTAAAAAAGTGCAATTCTTTTGGGATGCCCAAGTTAGTTGACTAAATCAGAGGCTCTGCTGCCAGCAGGCACAGACAGTCCAGTGCCTCCAGGGCACCTCCAAACCTGGTCAGCTCCAAACCTGATCATCAAATCAGGACCTGGAAATAAATCTAAATACAAGGAGCTGAATAATATTTACTTTACATATATGACTGTATGCACATAACTGTTTAACAAGCATTGTGTCTTTTAATAAATTCCTTAAAATTCTACTTTAGAAGCTGATTTTCCAGATTTCTCATATTTTATGAGCAGAATGTACAAGGTATCAGCTTTTAAGGCTTCCCCTTGGTCTGGGCTGAGCTGTGCCTCTCATCTCAAAGGGGCTGCGACAGAGATGGGAGTTCATAGGTGGGTGAAAGTGTAAACTTGGAATACAGGTTGGGGTGTTTGGTCAATGCTACCCTCTGCTGGGCGGAGCCACTCGGTTTTGCGTGTGCCAGCCCTGATTTATTACTGCACTCCTCTACTCTGATGCTTTGGTGGTTGTCCAGCCACATGGACAGCCCAAACAGCTTGGAATTTCCTACAGTGGATGCTTATTGCACAGCATGAACTTTGGAACAGATTTCCTTCTGCTCATGACTTATTCCTCTCTTCTCACTACCCTCAGGATTTTCTTTATTGCATGATCCGTGGTAGAATCACCAGGAGTCCCCAGGCAGCCTCACAATGCCACTGCATACCTGGGAAATTAAAGATGTGACTGACCTAAAAGGATCCAGCTGACTCCCAAATGCAAGTTTCCCTTCAACCTGCACCACCGTGACATTTCTTCTCCTTTTCACCACATCTAAATCACTTGGTATCAGAAATGCCACGCTGTGATTTGGGGTTACTGAATGGGGCTACTGACAGGTAACCTCCTGTCTTCAGGAGAAGATTGAGAGAGTGTATGAGGCCAGAGAGGGCAAGTGTCATGATCTGCCCTGACCTCCAGCAGAGTGGAGGCCAAAGAGCTCCATCCATCCATAAGAAGGGCACTGTAATTTACCTTGGAGGTATGGCATAGCAAAAGCATCCACTACTATTATTTATGGTGGCACATTGGTCCCTACAGCATCATGTTAAAAATCTCACTGCACAGACAGCGTCTCCCACTTCTCCATCCCTGCTTTCAGCGAGCTGATGTTTTACTTGAAATTGCCCAAATTCTTGCCAATGCTGCAATTTCTCAGCATCAACATGGCATAAGTTAAAGGTAAAGGTACAGGTCAGTCTGTAAATCCAAGTTCTATTTTCCTTATTTAACCTGCACCTTTAGCATGGCATGAATGTGCTTTTTTGTGACAAAATAACTCATATTTGAAGTAACTGGTAATATAGAAATCTCTGGAGCCATTACAGTTTTAATGAGAAGTGTAGGAGATGCTCCTATTAGGCAGGGACCACTGGCACAATAGACTGTAAAAGCCCCTTCAGGGTCATTACAATCTGTCATGTCAGGCTGAATTTAGGGAGTCTGTAATCTTCCTTGACTGACAAGCTCCTGCAGAGCTATTGTAGCTATTTGAAGAACAGGTATTTTTTAAAAATTAAAATCTTATGTGAAAAGTTCCCTCTGGAGTGGCAGGATACACTGCAGCTATGGGGCTCTGTGCGGCTGTATTCAATGTTTAATTACATACAACCAGATCACAAGAACAGTAATAGTGTGGTAAAATGAAGCACACAGAAATGCCAGCATTAAAACTGACAATAAAACATAAATTCAGGCCCTTTTAGTGGCTGCATGGAGGCCATCTCTCATTACCTGGGCATGCTCTGCAGCTCTGCCAAGGGTTGTATCAGTAACTGGCTAATGAGCAGACGTGGCTGATGGTGTTTGAAAGAGCTGCACACGCTGCACGTGCACCCAACCACTCCATGCAACAAGAACCCAACCCCTTAAATCGCCAATGGACAAGTTCCAGCTCTGTTTTTTTTTAAAGCCTCCTATGGAAATATTGTAAATTCAGGGGAGAAACTGAAAACCGACTTCTATACAAGATATTTTATTTCAGGATAAAGTGATAGGGTTTTTGGAGTAACATTTGAAACCACATTTTTACTACTTCGGTCCTTCCAAATGGTGTTGTGGCTCCTAATATGTATGGTATGGCCACGTTCACTGCTGGTCTTTAATATGGGCACTGTGCAAGCTACATTGTCATGGACATAAATAAAGGAGTCATGTCTGGTTTTGAAGCTTTTCCACTTGCAACCTGGTTTTCTTCTGCCAAAATTCTGTAACACTGGATCTCTTTCCCAACATTGCTTCTAAGCTATACAGTCGAATCTCCCTTTCCGATTACAAACCAGCACTATTGATGCTTTTCTATAGGAACATGAGAAAAGTGCCTGTCCATCAGCTGCCAGGGTCTGACTCCAACAGAGGAGCACCCACATGTCCCTGGCTGTTTAGGGTTAAAACCTCCCCGTGCGAGCTGTAATCTGGAAGGCAGCAACTCCAGCATCTGAGCTGGAGCAGCATCAACGTAAAGCAAACAGCACTTGAGCCCACAGCTGTTCTCTGCTGCCTTTACTTCCACGTAGCAACCTCAGAGAGTGGGTTTTCTGCTTATGACAGGAAAAACTTGGGCCAACCCTGGCGAGAAGAAGGTGGATTCTCGGTGTCACACACATGTAGGTGTACGTACACATGCAAACTGCAGGACAGCAGGAGCGAGGTTATTCAGCTCTGGGCTGCTCCCACGGGCATTGGTAGCAACATGTCATGCCTGAGTGTAGACCTAGACTGGAAATCCAAAGCAAAGTGACATCTCAGGTGCTTCGTAGCCTCCAGGACAAGCCTGAGACGAAATAAAATCCTGGGGCAAGGCATCATCAAATTTTGGTGGCGTGTGTTACCGTCTTAATATTTTTAGATGCCAGGTCTGACTAGCATGTTAATAATTCCATCCAAACTCACTATTTTTCATGCATTCACAGCATTTCTTAGCATTTTCGAGAGCGGAAATGCTGCAGCTCCAGCCTGTGCTTCACTTGGAAATTTGGAGGAAATCCTCTTGTGTATTATGCTGAGTCATGAGAAAATTAACTTATTACTAGATTTGCTTGCTTAAAAAAGAGATGCAAAACTGCTTATTTTAAATGAGAAAATTGCTTATTGTAAAAGAAAAAAAAAGGCTCACTGCTATTTCTTTGCTTGGATAGTGATTTAAAAGAACTGCAGTTTGAAAGGTGCACTTTGATAGGGGACCACAAGTTTCAGGTTTTCACCACAGATGAAACTACTACTTATGGTTTTAACGTTTTCCAGATTAGTTTTGACACCACAAGTTCAGTACAGAAAATTATAAACTCATCCAAGAATGTCCACAACAGCAAGTTGAGCCTTCTGCTGCTGCTGCCTGTGCTGCCGACAGCAATGTTCCTTTGAGCTAATTTAAGACTTTTCAGTGATTTTAGGGGACTTTGACTTGGTCTGTACATCAAGAGGGTGCATGTGAAGAAAAGAACACAAAGCCATGCCAAACAAGAGACTTCTGCAGATCTTAGGCACATGTGGTTTGTGTTCTTTTTAGGGTTAAATATAATCTATGTCCTTCCACCGCCTTTAAGCACATTAAAGCCTTAGATCAGTTTAAGCTCTTTAAGATGACCTAAGGCTCTTGCTCATCTTAGATAGCTAAAACACTGTCCAAAAACATGTAGAAACAAGGGAGAGGAGGTGATAGATGGTGAAA